GGTCACTTTCGTGCCGCCGCGCACTGGGCGCAGCGGAGAGCGGGACGCGGCTGCGGTGGGCACTGCTGCCGGGCAGCGGGGTCTGGGCTGCCAGCCAGCACCCTTCGCCGGGTCTCCGCGCGGTTCGTGGGCGCCTCGGGCCCTTGTGACGCCTGGCACGAGCGCCCCCCTCCTGTCCGGGAGGGCACAGCGTGCGCGGCTGCGGAGGGGCCGGCGCCAGGGGTGGCCACGCACTCGCAGCTGCTCCCCCGCCCGCCCACCGAGCCGCAGAAGCCCGCCAGCGCCAGGCAGAGCCGCTCGTCCGCGCCTCCCGCCGCTCCGGGAGCGGCCTCCAGCCGTATGTTTCCGGAAAACTTGGCCGAGGGGGAGACGCGCATGAGAGGATGTGAGTGCCGGGGAGGGGCCCTGGCGCCAGGGGGCGGGCGCAGCTCGCAGGCTGCCTGCCAGTATGGGAAGGACCCCGGCAGGAGGGGGCTCGTCTGCCCTGCTGAGCGGGTTGGGGGGCGGGGGGGCTCCCGTACCGCATTTGGGGTGTCCCCTCCAGGTCTGGCTGCTTAGGTGCTGTGGGGAGCTCAGGGCCCCTACAGGCTTTAATATTGGGGCCCCCCAACCCAGGGTCCAGGGGGGAAAGAAAGCCCCCTTCAACCACCCACTCCAGCCAGCCCATCACCGAATTTGAGGAAACTCAAGCTCAGAGGACATGGGAGGTTAGCCTGCTGCCTGGAGCCCTTCTGGGCAGGCAGGGCTGGCCCCCAGTTTGAGGAAGGGCTGTATGACCACCACCACCCGTCAGTCCAGCTGCTCCCTCAAGGGAGTTAATGACCGTGCCGCCACCCCCACCCCCCCAACCACTTCCTTATTTGTTTGTGTAGTTTAGAAATGTCACCCTCCCGTGGGACGGGCCACCCCAGATGGGAGAACACCCCCTCTCCGGCCAGGAAAATATAAATAAACTCTCATGGTTGTCCTGTCCTCCAGGGTGGCCCGGCTCCCTGCAGGTGGCAGCTGCTGCTGGCGCTGCAGCAGGAAAGGTCGGGGGCTGGGTTACATGCGGTCTCTTGCTGTTCCCTCCCTGTCCTTGAAGGACCCAGAGGAGCAGGTCACCGAGCCATGTGGCCCTGGGCACCATAGGCCTCATAGTCCACTGCCAGGGTGGAGGGTGGGCAGGCTGGCACCTACCCACTCGGCCCCCTCCCCCGCCTTGGAGATGGGAGTGTTCCGAGCCCTGGCAGCGAGGTTGACACGGAGCTGTGTCTTTGCAGGGGCCCTGTCTGAAAACTCTGTCACTTGCTATGACGTGGTGGCTTGTTGATGTTATTGCTGCTGCTGTTTTTGTTCCAAGCCTCGTGCACAGCCAGCTGCCGGCAGACCTGTGGAGGGTGGATGGGTGGATGCAGGGAGTGAATGAATGGACACGCCAGGGTGCAGCCTGCCCTGCTCACAGGGTGCCTGCTCCCCTTCCCTCCTGCCCACTCCCCAATCCAGCAAGGAAACAGTCCGAAACAGCCTCTGGGGAGACCTGTCCACGCTCTACTGCTCAGAGCCCCTCCCCCTCAGCACCTGAATCCATGGATGCTACTGTCTGTGTGCCCCCTCCCCCAGTGCACCTGCCTGGACCCTCGGCCAGACAAGGTCACTGTGCTGAGGCCTATTCCATGTGTGGGTATGCGCGGTTGGTGTAGGACTATGCTGCTGTGTGAGCGAGCTCATGTACGGTGCATCCGAGTGCATGTGTGCTTGGGTAGAAGGGCTGAGACCTCCCCCTTTCCCCCCACCCACCACACACACTGAGCCTGGAGTTGCAGTTTTGAAAATGGAATTCTGGGTGGGGGGTTGGGGACTCAGCAGTGCAGCTCTGAGATGAGCTGATAGGGATTGGGGAGGGGGGGGATACGTTTTCTGCACCAGGATGGTGGGTCCTCTGGGTAGTTCTGGTGTGATGATAGGCCCAGGGAACCTCTAAAGATGGAGTGACTGGGGAACAGGCCCACCCCAGCCCGTGGGTGCTCTGGAACTCTGTACCCTGGATGCCAACTTCTAGCTCCTCTCCCTATCAAGCTCCTTCCATCCTCAGCGGGTAAACAGTCCTGTCTCCCTCCCGAGGCTTGGTCTACAGCTGTGAGCATGTGTCAGCCAGGGCAGGCAGAGAGGGAGCCAGGCAGGGCCTGTGTCCTGGGACCCTCGATGTGGGGTGCTGGCTGGGGGTGGGATGTGGGGTGTCATGCTCATGTATGGGCCCAGCCTGGAACACAGGGTCTCAAGAAACGGCTTTGAGCCCAAAGGCCCCTGGGTGCCCTCCGTGTCTCTTCTGGAGCCCTTGCCTCACGCCCCCTCCCCTCCCCCCCCAGGTCTCCTGGAGCACGGGCGGAACTGGTCGGCTATCGCCCGCATGGTGGGCTCCAAGACCGTGTCCCAGTGTAAGAACTTCTACTTCAACTACAAGAAGAGGCAGAACCTGGACGACATCCTGCAGCAGCACAAGCTGAAGATGGTGAGTGCGCATGCACGGCCCCGTGCAGTCAGCCCCCAGTGCTTGGGCCTGGGGTGCTGTGGACATCCTGTGGGGAGGAGGGGGCCTTAGCACTCTCCTGCACTGGGGGCGGAGCCTCAGAGCGAGCCTCTGCCAACTCAACCAGGACCTCAGCTGTCAGCATGTCGGAAGAGGCAGATGGCCACTGGCTCCCTCTCCCTTCCCGTGCGACCTCACGGCTCTGGGCCCACTGTTGAGAGGTGCTCCAGGACTGGCTTGTTCCCGGCCCGCCCCCCTGCTGTTTTGGGCACACTCATGGTGACTGGGACTGTTGCAGCCATCAGAACGGAGGCCCTGCCTGGTGCTCATGGCCATGCGTCCTAGAGCCGAGGCCCTCACTGCAGGCTGCCATCTCCTGGGATCCCCGGGTGGCCACTGCCCTGGGCATCCCTGCAGGTTGGCCCTCCACGCAGCACCCACTGAGCATTAAGCACCCCCACACCTCACACCCCAGCAGCTTCACCCGACAGTGTGCCCAGGGCACACTCCCCAGTCCCAGCAGCTCTGCCGCTTCCACTCACGTGGGGCCCCTGGGACTCTGCCTGGCATCCGCAGGCTCCAGTGGTGCCTACTCATGCCCAGGTTCTGCTGCTGCCCGGGCTCCAAGCTGCCCAGTGGAGAGGCCCCCTCCATCTTAAACTCCTGTTGGGCCCCTCCAGGCTGCACCTTGAGGAGCTGCTCAGGGGGAAGGTCGAGCTAACAGCTCACCCAATTGGGAACGGGCTAACGCTGGGCCTCAGAGCCCTTCAGACCAGGCCTCCCTCTTCCCTGCTCCTCCCAGTCCCTGGGCTCCAGAGTCAGTGTCTGGGATGGAAGCAGCCTGAGTTCCTGCTCCAGAGCTCACCCCTTGGCCATGCTTCCCGTGCATAACCGACAGCATCCCTCGCGCTCGGGCTGGTGACCCAGCACCTGTGGCCTTGGCTGCAGCTGCTCATCTGAGTTTCCTCACCTCCAAAGTGGAGGAATGACCACACTGGATACAGGGGCACTTGTGAGGGTTCATTGAGCTAATGGGACCCCCGCTGCGCCTAGTGGAGAAGGAGGGTGAGGCTGGCTGCCCCGGCCGCTGCTGCTTCCACTGCTGGTCAGTGGTCCTCTGCTGTTCGCATGGCCACTGCTCTGCCAGCCGCAGCTGCGGTTCCTCCTGCTCCTCCTTCCGTCTACGCTCTCAGCTGCTGCTCCTGCTAGGTGTTTATCACACGTGCTGTCCCTGCATCTGTACCCCCACGCCTGCGTCGTGTCTTCTCTCCATCTCCTGTAGGTGCCCCTACTGTTCACACATCTGCCGCTGGAGACCCAGTTGCTTACATGTTGGGCTGCTCAACACAAGGTCAGCAGTTCAAAACTAGCAGCCACTTCACAGGAGAAAGAGGAGGCTTCTGTTCCCATAAACGGTTATGGGCTCAGAAACTCTCAGGCCAGTTCTGTTACATTTAATACTACTGCTACAGTATCAATTACGATTACTACAGTAGTGCTGCTACATCTGCTACCATTTCACCTGTCAGTATCACTGCATCTATTACCAGTCCCTCAGTTACTGTGGCAACTGCGTGTAGGACCACTCTGCTCTGTGCTTTTTCCTCTGCTGCTGTGTCTGCTACAGTACCCCTGTGCGTATTGCCATTGGGGCGATGACCAGCACTGCGTTGGCCCGCCCATAGCAGCCCGGTCCTGTGCTGCTCACACAGTGCCTCTGTGATTGTTGCCGCCCCTGTCATCACTTGGAACAACTGTCCTGTTCTCCGGCATGGGCACCTGAGGTGCCGAGGCAGCAGCCATGTCCTGTGGGGGTCAATCCCAGGCTCCGCTATCTCCCGGCCTAGTGCTGTGGAGGGACTTGTCCCCAGGCTGCAGTGGGACAGAGTGAGCCGGGCAGGTGAAGCACGTTGCAAGGTTTCAGGAAGGAGGAGATGCATGAGGGTGGTGACGTTCCCATGGCAGCCTGTGCCCTGGGCTGCTGAGTCAGTGAGTGACCACAGGTTGGGGGGTGGGGTGGGGTGTGTGTGTGTGTGTGTGTGTACTCTAAGACTGAGGCTTCATTCCCAGGCATGATCTGTGCCTCTGTTTTCTGCTCTGTAAAACAAGGTTACAGCAAAGACCGCCTCTCATGGGTTGTGTGTGAGGCAGCAAGTGGGTCTATGTGTGTCAGGCATCCTGTACGCCTGCCCCTCAGGCCCTGGCCGGGCGTGGGCGACTCCACTGTGTGTGCTCACGGTGAGCTGTCTGTGTGACTGTGAGTCAGGGCACAGCTCATGCGTCCTGAGGGAAGGCCCTTCCTGCTGGCCCAGGGTGGTCTCTGAGCTGAGGAGCAACCGGGGGACCGGGCACCAGGCCTGGGGCCCCTGTCTGGGGCCCCTGAGTTGCTGAGCATGAGGAACCGAAGCTCACTAGAAAAGGGTCCAGCCCCCGGCCCAGAGTATTCCAGTGAGTGGATGGAGAGGGCGGGTGGGGAAGACCCTGGGGTCAGGGGCTGATTGTAGGGAGGTTGGCCCTCTGCTCCACGTCCTCCTCCCAGGACTGGTCTCCTGCTGACATGGAATGTCAATTCCACTGCCCTCTCCTCTAAGGTGCTCCCTAGTGGACGTCTTCCAGGACAGATGTATCCGTTCTGGGTGGGCCATAGTGTGCTCAGCAGACTCGGCCAGCACTGATTCAGGGGGGCCAGTTCGTCCATCTCTCTGACCCACTGTCCCACTCTCACGTGCACAGGAAGGCTTGGACACACCAAAGCTTGGGTGAGGCAATGTGGCTTTACTGTGCATTGTTTTTGACACGTTTAAAGAGGTCTTGTGCAGCGTGTTCACCCGTGTGTCATGCTGGAGGAGCAGCCAGAACACCCCCCCCACCCCCCGAAACCTTTAAGGGCCCGAACCACCGACCTCTTGGATGGCAGCCCGGTGCTCTACGCCTGTGCCACTAGGGCTGCTTCCCTGCAGGTGGTGGGGCTGCCCTGGGCCTGCTTTGGCCTTGGAGCGCAGCTTCTCTGGGTCCCAGTGCCTGGGGGAGGTTTGCTCAGATTCTCAAGACCTGTGGGTGGGCCCGCTGGGCTGTGGTGGTCTTGCATCTCAGGAAGCTTCTGCACTCCGGAAAGGCCTTGCTCTAGGGACGGCTTCCAAGCCCTAGGAGCCCCCAAGGGTTCACCTGCTGCCCCAGCCTGACGGCTAAAAATAGATTAGGGAAGAAGGAGATCCCTCGGCCGCACCCACAGAAGCCACTCAGCTGCGTGGGGGGGGGGGGTGTTCTGGGAGCATGGGGTGCGGGGTGTTGTGTGACTTCCAGGATCCCCATTGCCCGGGAATGAGGTCCTCCTGAGGGCAGTGGGGAGACCTGTGGGGTTCCCTTCCTGCTTCGGGACCCTCCTGTCCCATCTGCTGTTTGAGTGGGAACCTCCCTCACCTTGAGATCTCAGGCTGAAGGGGACTCCCGGTTCGGTCCCCTGACACCGTCAGCCATGCTCTGGGCCTCGGGCCGAGGCGGGGTCCCTGCCATCCTATGGCCCTCTGCTGGGGACACACTGCAGACGAGTGGGAGGCACCTTGTATGTGAATGGCTGGCGGGTGCGTGTGACATGCCTTTCCGTGCCTCCCTGTCACTCGGCCCTCAATTCCCGCCTGCGGGGCCTCTGCGTCAGCCAGGGTGGCCGGCTAGTGCCCTGCTGTCTGCCTGATCCTTACACCCCCCGCAGAGGGAGAGGACCCTCGTCCTGGGCATCCGTGCACCCTCCCCTTCTTGCTGAAGGAGCTGGCAGGGTGGCCCCTGGGGACAGAT